TTGTATGAAACTTGTATTGTTGTGAGTTGAAAATCTTTGTCAGAAGTCGGAACAAGGAAATGGCGTCAATGACGCGGTCTGACGGCAACTTCATTGACAGCTATGGCCATCTATTAGTAAATTCCGGTTTCATATTTACATACCTGGTACTCGTACATATCGATTTTCAGATGCGATTACTTCAAACAGCATCGTATTTAATTCTCTTTTCCCTCGTTGTTCTTTCTATCACAGTCTCACACGTAACGATGATTTTGTAAAGGAAACATCCAAGCGAAGCAGACAACGAGTAACGACTGGCACTAAAGAGTTAAACCACTAATGAGATCGCGCCAAATTTTTTCATGTATAAACGGTGGTTAAACGAATGAACGTGCTTTTACTTGTAGGTGTATTCAATTTTCTGTCTTCTAAAGAGGTTTCGTAGTTATAAAACTACATATAGATTATCGTTGTACTTTTAGCAAAAACAGCACTTGAAGATTTCAGTCTATCAATAAGACCTCGGCAGGATATTTAAATGCAATTATATTGCCTTGCTTTAAAAAATTGAAATACATGCGTGTACAATTATTTAATATAAAATAATTTAATTGTTTATATACACATACATGTATGTATATATATATATATTATATACACATATATGTATATATATATATGTATACATATATTAATAAACTGGAAATTACATATTTGTAATGTTTTATATTCGTAACTACTTTAGTAAATTCAGTTATATTGGCGTGATCAATCTCAAAGTAGTACAACACGATAGGCGACTTTAAATTCACGTCACGCTACATAAATTAGATTCCCGGTAATATGTCTGTGCATTGCGTGTTACAATCGTCCTGAAACTAGAGAAAAAGATATACTACGATAAAATCGACAGTGACGGATACATATGTACACGGTGCACTCCGTATAAAAAAAATCGATAGCTGGTGAGATCCTAAACTATTGTTTACGGCCGAAGTGATAGCTCTCTGATAGAATCTTTCTAAATATCTCTAATAGAACTCACAATCAAAATAAAATATCAGTTCTTCAGAAAAAAATGATCGTATATATTCAATTTTCAAAAATATATTTCATTTATATCGGCATTATATATATCGTAATTTTATTATACTTATACTTTTATATTATTTAACATTTGGCCTTTCTGTCATATTTCAGTTAATATTTTAGTAAGTGGATTATTGTACTGAAGTAATTCTCTTGGAAAATTACAATATTTCAATCGTTGTCGAAAAATGTTTCGACATGTTTTTTATATTTTTAACGATAAAGCCAAAATATATTTCAGTTTACATT